TAAAGCCCATCACTAAGGTGAATGTGAATACTTACGTTGAGCATTCTATTTTTGGCTAGAGAGGAGGATTTTCTAAGATTTATGGAATGGAGATGTCTACTACTTATACCTCTGCTACTTCTACATTTAGACTATCTACCTCACGTGCTTCTCAATCTAGAGGTGAGTCTATTGAGACCCAAGATCAATTATTACGAAGGATGATGGATCATATTAATTTTACTGCTGATTAAGTTCAGAATTTAGAGCATTTTGCAGAGCATACTGATAGGCATAGTAAGAGAAAGAGTGATTATGAAGAAAAATTCCACTGATCTTTGGAAAATTGAATTATTGGAAAATTGAATTAGGGGTGACCCAAGAGTGCACTTTCCTCCATATCCTCAATATCCTGATTATGAGCCTGTAGAAAAGTGGTATAGCAGTGATTCAGAAGACAAGGAGTAGAATTGAAAGGTTTTTATGTTTGTAATATGTGTTAAACTATGTTCTTTGGATTTGAGATTTGTGATGTGTTGTTTATTTTTATGTTGTGGACTATGTGGTGTGGTACTACTACATTTGCATCTTTGTGATGATATGTTCTATGTATTGTGTTTTGGACTTTTGTATTTTATTGTTATTATGATGTTTGTGTTAGTTAGTAGTTTATTTTAAAATTCTAAGGTATTAACTGTTGTGAGTTTTGTGATTTAGTTAGTTTAGAACTTAACTTAATTCTATGCCTTTTGAAAAGATGAAAATCTTGCTAACTTAGGTCTTAAATATTAAATTTCAGAAACTGCTACCCTGTATTTTTCTTTTATCATGTTTGTGAGTTTGTTTTAATGTTGAGATTGTGAAGTCAAGTTAGTGTGTTAGTTTCCTTTTATGTTTATACCCACTGTTTAGAAGTCTATTGAATCTCTACTTGTTGAATTGAAATGAAAATATTAGAAAATTTGATCAAAATTAATTTTACTCCTATTTTTAGTTTTATACTTGTATCATTAGGGTATAAAAAACTCCTATTAGCAGTTATTTTAATTTTCATTTCTGCTTATATATATTTGATGCTAAACTGTTTAATCTGTTAAAACTTTAAGTTTGGGGGGGGAGAAAAATTCATTTTTAAAGAAAGAAATGTAATTTTATTTGTCCCCAATTAGCTATATTTTCAAAATTTTTAAACTTAACATGACCTTTGTTATTAGAGGGTAACTTTAGATA